TCGGTCACTGTGTTGTTGGGACTCAGCTAAGCGGATCATGAGTCTTGAAGTGCTTATTTTTGAGTAATCGACGTGTTATTCGAATCGGGACCCACATCTTCATCACGGATCTTTTCCAGATAAGCCCCGCCACTAGTGCAAAAAGTGCATGTGCGAAAAGGTAAGCCCCATCACCTTTTGCCAACTCCTCAATTTAATGTACGCACACAACCTTGACTTATTTTGATGAAAGCAATTCTTCATCCGCATCTAGGATCATGTTGTGTAAAATTTTCTCCGTTCGGACGTAAAATCTTAAATGACCTTCCTGACGCTTTCAACTCTCGTTCATGACAAGGAGGCGGAAATACGTTTTTTGCAAAGCCACGCAGTTATCCATCAGCAACGTTTATGCAACAATGGCCACCAGATGACACTTTCAACTGTTTTTGACGGGTGAGGGCGAAATGCCAGACAGTGTCGGGAAGGAATCGGTCTTCGAATGGGAAACTGGCTGGAGCGATCTAGGATGGATTTTTTGGACAGTAATTCTATCCATATCTGCTGGTTCGAAAATTTGGCAAAAACTGAATTCTCCCCATAGGAATTATCTAATAGCCACAGGACCGCTGTTGACTGGAAGGACGTTCTTCGCGAATTTTGTGCCTGGCGGGTTTTGCAGTTACTAATAGTTATCGGCGGCCCACGCCCACACACCGCGATCGACGAAAAGCGAAATGCTAATATCTCGCCGTAAAAGCCACGGTGGGCGAGTCCTTCCCCAGCAGTGGATTTTCGGAGGGTGTTCATGTATGCAATGCTAGATCGAACTGCGGCCACTGTGATGGACACAATCCAGGCCTGCATCGCTCCCGGCTCAGTCATCATCTCCGACTTGTGGGCACCATACCGCTGAATTGGAACGATGATTGACATGAATTATACTCCAACGGGCCAATGTGGCACGCACCGATCTTTAGTGGACAGCTACTTGTGTGAGTTCATTTGGGGGCAAAGCTACCGAAAAACGGACCTTTCATGCAAATGATTAATGACATGTCCCGATTTCATCCTCTTCAATAAAAGCTGAAAGTATAAATTTCATATCCTCCTTTTTCTAATCTTTTTTGTGTGGTGGGGGTTAATTTGTTGGCAGAGCTTATCTGGAAAAGATCCGTTATCACCATCACAAACTGCAAAGCCCGTGTTGGCAATGATCGTTCTCTGCCGTACAAACACAAGGTATATTTGATTACGCTGAAAGTTCGAAGATGAGAAAAAAGGAAAAGACCGGAGGGTGAAGGAGTCTGATGCTACCTTACTGTGAGGATTCTGGCGTGTCCACATTCAAGAACGCTCTTTGGTACATTGTGGAAAGAAACTGACTGCACGGACCCCACTGACGTAGCCGCCAATCCTCGAAGACCGGGCACAAGGAGGGCCTGAAAGGCCAATCCTGAATTTGAGCACGCCCAACGGCATGCGATATCTTCGTAAGCTGTTTAAGGTCACTCCACCAAACTACCTGTTGTCCACTCCAAAATTTATGCAATTTCGTGGGAAGCACGGAGAAAGACACTTGTCTCGGTAGACAATGATCCGTCATGCGTAGCACATGGATAAGCCATCGCAGTTGACGGTATTGGTTGTTTTCCTTGGATGAGCTACCTGCTGAAGAAACGAAAGCTCGTTTTCTATTACCCTATCAGTAATTCGTCGATGTCATAAGACAAAAGCAACATCGGTCGCCAAAAACCTGAAAACCTCTCGCAATATATGTCAGGAGGATCCAGATCTTGGAGCCCTTGGTCAATGTGACCCGGTACATCAATGGCCTGGTACAGGTGATCCCAGAAACCTAATCATGTTACAAGTAACACACCTTCTAGCACACCTCTCTTGCTGGAACTGTCCTTCACCGTCTGATCTATTGTGTTCAGCCGAAATGAAAGGAAATGTACCTAACTAGAGTGCCTCTCGTATAGCAGCACATCTTGCAGCATTCCGTGAGACACCGAATTTATCCGTACTTCAGCTATTGCCTTAAAACTCCACAAAATTTATGCTTATTTGCTATTGTTTGACAAGCACGTCACTGGCATGTGCGGAGGTGGATCCAAGCTTCAGATAAGTGTGATGTGACTGGTCGGTTTTATGGTGAACCAATGCTGCTCTGATTGGTCAGAATATCGATCAATCAGAAGCGGAAAGCAGCTAAATCCCCTAGCGCTCTACCGGTAGTACATCAAGAGGCCCCGCTTCTTGTTAACTCTGATCAGTCCGATGTTTAGATGAACCTCTGAAAACTGGCTGGAAGAAAACACCAGAAGATGTCGGAATATCACAGTTAACTTCTGAATTTCCGAGTTGGTTTTCGTTAGCTTTCCAAAAGCTCAGCATTGTGAAGCAATTCACGGGGAGCCAAATCGTCGATATGTGAGTGATGAACCATGGAATGAATTTGGTGTCTCCTTCCACCTCTTTTGATGGGTCACGAATCAACTAATTGCACCAAAGGCATTTCAGGCGCTCCGAGTTTAGAAATAAAAGAAGAGTTACAAAAGCCGTCAGCGTACAGTCGTTTCCCGAGGAAACCTTTGGTACAAGTCGCAGCAGCTCTTACATTTCTGGTGCAGCCTGATCAGGATGCATTCTGAAACGGTACTTTGTTTCCGTACAGCCCTGAAAGACTTCTTTGAAACCGCTTCTCTACCCATAAAGTTTCTAAAGACTTGTCGAGATCGGGGACAACTCTGAGAAGGAGCGAGGCTCCTAACTGGTAACAACGCCTAATTATGGACAGGTTTTTAGAAGTCCCTTCTTTAATGATGTTTTTCTTCAGTAGGCTCCAGTAGGCCATTTGATTCTGGCCACCTGCATCTTGAAGAGAAACTACGTTCTGATGTATCTCCTTCATAAAAAGACCGTCGAAAGGGGATGTAATAAGGCAAATCTCGGGCAGATCAAAAACCTACCTTATAGGCTTCTAACTTCGACGTCGTTTGGACGAATGGGAGTTCACCTCTTGAACTGGAATATATAAACTTCTGGCTAGACAAAGAAACCGGTCTTATTCGATAAACTTGTGTTTTCGATTAGCCAGATACATTCACATCTCGAATATGGTCCATATGCGACGTATCTATTGGAAGCAAAATATCAAAAACGAGAGATTTTTATGCTGAATTCTGCTGTATACAAATAAAGGTATTTGACGAATTCCGTCCAGTTGGTTCAACTAGACTATCTGGTTGCCGGAAGCTCGCAGACTACGCCCACCTGATGAGCCCCAACAAGACCGTAACCAGTTAATATTTGTCCAAGATTTTGATACACCTTTTGAGTTTGTATGTTCAGTCAGGCCTAATCCTGATTGTCAGTCACTGTCGCATCTTTTGTCCTGTCTGACTGACTCTCTAATTGGTAAACAGAAACTTTCTGGTAACTTTTGGCCTAATGATCTATCGATCGTCAGATTTCGATGCAGTCGGATCCAATGCAACCAGTATCGGATTAACTTCAATTCCGTTGCCCTGTACGTCAGCGAAGTGCACAGTCAGTTCCCCAAAATGTACAAAACTAGCGTAAACTTGTCCGATTTTGATACTTTTCACGCTTGGGTGATCAGAACGTCCGGTTGTCATTTATTTTAAAGACATGTTCCACTTGACAACCGGTCTGAAGTGTATTAATTTGGGGGCATTGTCTACCTTTTAAAGGAAACTCAAACGTGCTCGTTATCGTGAAGCTGTCCTACGTTTCGTCAACGAAGACCGTAGTCTCCAGAAGACAGCAAGAAAGAAATATTATAGCTTTGGTAATTTCGCTTTTCACGCTTGGGTGATCAGAACGTTCCACTTGACGACCGGTCTGAAGTGGATTAATTTGGGGGCGGCATTTGCCTTTTAAGGAAAAATCAAACGTTCACGTTCTCGTGAAGCTGCCCTACGTTTCGTCAACGAAGACCATAGTCTTCAGAAAACAGCAAGAGAGAAATATTATAGCTTCGGTAATTTCTGATGACACCATTATACTTGCATTGGCTGCACACGTTTCCCGTGAGATACTCTGGAGTAAAGGAAACCACGTTTCTTTCGCCTCGGAGGGAACACGAAGCGTTTGTTTGGGAAGCCGATAACCAGCCCCACAGTTGAAAAATCAATGAACCCACTATATAGTATATCCAGTGATTTCCTAGTGGAAATGGGTCGTTGTAAAGAAGGTGCGTTGGCCAACTTCTTCAGACGATATCAGGAATACGCGCTAGGGATGGCCAGAATTTGGGAGAGCCTGCATCTGACCCACCAATCCAACAGTAAAGTTCGCGGATCAGGATGAAATCTGGTCCTTTCAGTATGGAAACCCGGGGGGGGGAGGAAATCGGGGTGACCATAGTGATCTATCGATGAACTCATACGAACGCATCTTAGGCGAGATTACACACAGCGTTGTACGCCCCACACACGGAGGCCTACATTATCCTTCGGGTAAATTGTAGCTAATTTACTCTCCGAGGTATTCGAAAAACCTATATGTATAAGATAACGACACATTTTAGTGCACCTACCGGGTCGCATATTCAGTTCACTCGACCAGCTTAAGAGACCCTAATGTCTAAAATTCTTTTGTATCATTTTGAAGAATTATGCACAGTACTTCCCGAACTATGCACAGTACTTCCTGATATCTTCAGTGACGATGTTTTGGCTCGCTAGAAAAGTATTCCCTCGGTTACTTTTAACAAAAAGCTTCACATGCAGGTAAAAATGTGCTGAAAATCAAAGTCAGTGGGTTTCTAACCTTGATGCATCGTTGTCCGAAAATTTGATAAGCATTCAAGTTCACCGCGGCCTGTGGCCAGTCCAGTGCAACGGAAAATGACACTTTCTCGCTGCGATTGACGTAAATTTATTCAAAAAACGTAATGTTAGGGTTTTGCGGGATAGGTAATTTTGTACATAGCCACATCACTCTCGTTTGAACGGCCGTGTTCCTGTTCTGGCGTAATTATTCCGGTGAGTTCACACCAAAGGGAAGCACTGGACTCGAGTTTCGCTCTCATTAGGGCTCATCAGCAGTGCATATACAATGGCCGTGCCGGGATTTGAACCCCGGACATGTGACGCGAGGCGGGCGTGTAAACACCACTCCACCAGGACAGTTACTGGGTCGTCGTTCGATGAGTCGGACACACCAATCACATCGCTCAAGTGTGAACACGTTCACCTGTTCAGACGTGATAATTCAGATGCCTCCAACGTGCGTTGGTGGAATGTAGTGGTTACACGCATGTCACAGACCAGGGTTGAAATCCCGGCACGGCCATTGGATATGCGCTGCTGATGAGCTCTAGTAAGAGCGAAACTTGAGTCCAGTGCTTCCCTTTGGTGTAAACGGAAATGGTGTGTATCGGAGTTTACATGAGACAGTACAAACTCTTTGACAAAAGAATTTGGAACTCCTGCCAGTTCATCAATAAAGCTCCCCCTCCTCAGGAGTATGAGACATACTTGATAGGTCAGGTTGGATCGCTTTTCTACGGAGGAGAAGATGCGTCACCCTGTTGCCCAAATGCTTTGCCCAGTGTGATTTGTCAATCACCCCACGCCCTAGAATTACATGTGCAGTTAATTTTATATGGCATTTAGACACTTATCTACAGATGCAGACTAATCATTGGTCCACATTGCTTCATCTCTGTATTATTCAGGGATCGAACCAGCGTTTACAGCATCAACCAGTATCCGCTTTCTTATGTTGAGATCTCTGGGCGTGTGTTTACACGAAGCTGTCGGCTTATTAGAGGACTGTCTGTATGTCCCATCCCCCCCCCACTTGACCGCTGTCAACAGAAAAACAGTTCACTGAAATTCTTTTATGATAAGCGGATTGAAGCAGCACATACTACTTGCGACAATATGTTATTGCTTTCTCAACCGAAAGCTGAAATGTAGAGTTGTCTTTCCGAAATGAGTATTGGTGTTTGATCAGGTGATCGTTAATCTGTTAGCCGAGCTTGGCAATCAGTTTCGTCACCAATCGAGGTGGCATCGTCAATGTGCGGTCCATCATCATGAGTCCGGGTGTGACGGTGATACTACTGATGGGGAGGCACGCGAGTAGTATTTGTTGTTCGTGGAATTTCGCTTCGCGTCTTTTGAAAAGAGGAGGTCTGGTGCGGAATTTGTGGAGTCGCTTTGTAACACTTGCTTGGATTTGAGCGTACAATATTTCTGCTGGGGAGCAGAGCACCCCACACACGGGTACATTCCAGTGGATGTGCCTTGTTGCGACACTTGTTGCCTCTATGTGACACTTCACAAATCAACAAATAAACAGTTTGGCAGTTTCTCCTGAATCGTTTTCAACCAACGCAGCTTATCATCTTTCGTCTGAAATAATTGTCCTAATTAGTTGGGTTTTTGAATTAATGACCGAGATTCTCGTGTCGATACTCCTTTCCCCATCCTTACCAACCAAACTATCGCTGCACAAATTCGCCGTAGACAGGTTTGTTCCGTACTTTGTCCATTTCCACCCACAGTCTCTACCAGTCCTTTCGTCTGTGTGGGCGTCGGTCTCAGACTAATTAGGCGTACTGGCTGTCTGAGATTATTGATTCTCTATCCATCCAGATATTTGTCTGTCACTTTCAGAGGCTAATTACATTTGCTGAAGCACAGATTTTATCTCCGCACTTGTACCGGTCAGAATTTCATAGTGTGGGATCCGCTAGTTAATGAGGTGCGTACTTTTCGGGCCGACACATAACAAGTCGGGTCGAAATCCGCAAAAGGGGAGCCGGCCAGTAATGATCAGCGATCATCTGGTTGTCGGAAGGCTTTGAGTAGTCCGGTTTGGAATTTGGGGCTGTCCTTATTAAGTTCTCTGTAGAAGTTGTGCGAATATAGCGACCGAGTTCAGAACTCCTCGTCATTACATCGTCGGTGCATCCGGATAGTGAAGCGATTAAGATCCTCCATTAAACTAATAACAGTTTGTTTTTAGAAAATTCTTCACACTATCTATCCTTTTCAAGAGAACGCTACCACATCTGTTCCTATCCTTTTTCTGGAGAAGCAGGAAACGGCACCCTGTCTGACCTTGATCGGCCAATCGTTGAGGGTATTGCATCAACACGACGCCTTATTGATTAATCGATAGCCGAGACCGAGATTTGTTCGGCCATTCTTCAACCTTTTCAGCAAACAGTCTGGAATCGGTTTGTCCCAAACGACCCATATCAGTATCAGAAGATTGGTGCTAATACGCAAGAGCATCTGAGTTTTATGGCGGACTAGGACCTTATCAGCGTGTCCGGATAAATTAACAAGCAAAGTAACCAATACAAAATCACAAAATCACAATAGGAAAAGAATGAGTAGTCAAATGGGGAATCACGAATGTGTAGATCCAATAGTCCACTACACCAATCCAAATGCAGCAACTGGCTGTGAAAGGAACTATTCACTTATCGAAATTTTCCCGCAGATGGTTCCGCGTGAGCGATATATTCCACGGTAGGAAAATTATTCACGGCTAAAAAAAATGTCACAGGGATTTATTGTGACGTTCAACAGTTGACAAAGACACAGAGATTTGGTCCCACTGGTTCATCAGTCAACAAACGGTTCAACGGAGTGTAAATACGCTCGTTCAGCAAGAAGTCAGCAGGTCGCGCCGGAAAATTGTGTATTCGTAACATTAAAACAAACGTCATGATACAATGTGAACGACAACTGCAAAGTGTGGTTTAAGTTCAGGAAGAATGGTAAATGTGACAACGGATTACAGACACTACAGTTTCCGCTAGATGTATGGAAAAACAGCACACTTTAGATCAAACCTCCAGTGTCATTTGGACACCTTGGGAATTCATTACCATGGAGCGGGATTGTAGCGGGGGTACAGGGATACTCAACAAGACGATAGAAGCACCAGGGGTGGGTGAACAAACAGGGTGGAATATATTCAGATCAGAACAATGCTTTACACGAAGATAGTGCACCCTCAGGCTTGCCAAAATTGCATCCAAGGCGTTGACCAGCACTTTTATGTCATTTTCCAGTAAAAAAAGTTAAGTGTGCACATATAGCTCTCACGAGGAGTTGTTGTACCAATTTACCGGAATTAAAATTGGATATTTTTAGCGATATTGTTATTGAACACATTGATTCGTTTGGTCATGTGATCTGACAGCTATTTAGCAGACAGACAAAGAATAGCGAATACTTTCATCGGAGTGTTTTGTCTGATCTGTTGTGTTTTCTATGGCAAACGCTCTTCGCTCTCTGTACCTGCAGAGTGATCTACTTCCCGCAGCGTTTCCCACCGTCTGGGACATACGCTTGACAGAACGTCCCCTGGGACCTGTCTATGAATCGAAGCCCATATTCTGCTTAACTGAGTTCCATTGTGGTGAGTTTAAGTAGTTTTCTGATAAAGCAGTGAACGTACTGACCGGAACCCAACCTGTGTAGGCTTGAGCAACAGGCCAAACCGCTGACAGGATATGCTGCGCAACTGCTGAAAGGAACGTGCGCATCTCATTGCGCATCTCATGCTCTCAGTGCTATTTATGTCAGCTATTTTAGTAGACAGTCGGACATTCACCTACTTAGGTTCCATTCAGTGCGAATTTTATGGTTTTCAACTACCGAGTAGATGTCACACGTTCTACTATCCCTAAAGAGTCGTCAGATGATCCCAGACAACGAAGAGACAAATGTACACCACCTTTCGGATTTTAGAAAAGGAGTAACTCCCCTCTTACTGTCAGCAAACACAACCGGTATATGTGTTCATTTTGGTTTTCACGAGAGACTCAACTGAATCCCTTGTTTATGATATTCTACAACTGAATGGGCTGCACACAGGCCGCCTCATGTTTCAGTTGGCACGATATTCGAGATACCGCAGTATATTTTCATAAAGGAAACTACTCACAAGGTTGCTGAAAACTCTTCGACAGCGTACGATTGGTTTCGTCTTTCTTGGGGCTCATCAGGTAGGCGCAGTGCCCGAGTTTCCGTCAGCCTTATGTTCTATTTGAGCCCAAACTGGAATGTCTTCGAGAAATACATTCATTTGCAAATCAATTCTTTTTACACGAGAGACTCAGCTGAATTCCTTGTTTATGATATCCTACAACTGAATGTGCTGCACACAGGCCGCCTCATGTTTCAGTTGGCACGATATTCGAGAAACCGGTCGTGAGCTGCCGAAGAGTCTTCAGCAACCTTGTGAGTAGTTTCCTTTGTGGTATTTTTGTATTAATTACCATTGCAACTGCAGATGGAATGACAAACGACGAAGGAGGCGCTGCTTTCTAGCAAACGAACACTCCCCTGTCACCGCCTAACTGAAACAAATGACCGATTTTAATTCCCTAGATGGAGGAATCGTTATCCGGTATGCAACAGAGTAGATAGGCAGAACAACTTTGTCTAAATTGAAGTTGTAATGGGACAAAAGTCCCGAATTGAATGGACCGCAGAAAGGAAATCAACGCTGCAATCATTTGGAGTGGAAAGCCGCACCTCAGAGGAATACTCATAGCTGAGCAAAATTGGAGTTCCTTTATAACCCCTTTTCAATCCACACACTATCAGAATACCTCAAATAGTTCGCCTGGATGTCTAACTGATGTGTAATGACGCTTTTGCGGAAACAGCTCATGGGGCATTGTGTTCGGGCTACCCTTCAATCCGCACAACTCGCTAGACAAAGTTGGTAAATTTCACCTATTGGTGTTCCATTGATGTAAGCACTTTCCTCACAATCACTTCACTCCAAAAAAACGTTTAATGGCTATGTTACTCCAGATTCTGTAGACTGGTTCACGCTGCTCCCAACTGATATTTCGAAAAGCAAACTACAACAGTGAGGTTCATATGTTTCCTTGCTGAGTGTTATCTTGTTTGTAGGACGTCGGAAGAACGCAAAAAACACGGATTAGCTGTACAATTACGTTTGTTCATTAGCATTATGTCAATGAGGCTGAATTGTCCCGAAATATTGATTTTGAAGTGGTATTACTTGCCAAGGAGATAGCCCTGGCAGAACAGAAAAAGTAAGAGCGAATTTTCGGACTAATCGAGGTCACGCACTTGCGAGGCTAAAATATGGATAATTTGGTTGCGGGATAGGTATCTTGCTGAAATGTGTTCACATCAGTTCATCAACGTAGGTTCCGTCAGAGGACAGTCTCTGGTGGGCAAATCGAAAGCACCGTAGGCGCGGGCTCAAATTCCATCGGAATGCCCGAATCGCTAAGGTGTGTCTGTGTTCTCATAGTGTTCTCACTTCGGTTAGCAGTCTCACTAATTCACAATCCAGTAAGAATTGACTGCACGATCAAGCCAGCTTCCGAAATGGCGACTGGAACAAGTCCATCAGCCTCAAACACAGACGAATAGAGTCGAACACGTTTTTCTAGAAATGCGAGGGAACAGTTAGTCAAATCCGAATAGTTTTAAAGCTTCAGGCAGCTATCGAGTCATCACTGACCTTTGAAATGTTTCATGCTATTGCTTGGAATTTGTTCAGACAGCAAAAGCAACTTTTGAGGGTCTGACGTGCGGTCCGACGATAAGTGGACTTGTGGTGTCTACGCGCTGTTACGGGTTACACGAGATTTTCATGAGTGCCTATCCCTGAAAGACAGCTCGGCTTCTCCGCCTATCTCACATGTGTGGGAGAACTGATGAAAAGTTTAGACACTGTTGAATTGACTTTCAAAAACATTCTCAAATCGGTCTACCAAGCGAATATGATTCAGGTGACAACGTGAGCATATAACCTCTAATCAACTTATGGATAGTAGTGAACTGTATTTCTCAATATTTCTATGATTTACTTACCTCATAGCTTCTGGGCAAAGCCGAGAAAATAGACACATTTGAGCGAAACAGTTTATGAAACGTTTCTTACTGAGATTTGTACCCTATATTACGGACGGAAATAACGAAAGCCTGATCAGAGTATGGGGAGATTTGTCATTCTAACTGAGACTTCATCCTACAAGTTTAGTTCAAATAGCGTGGAAGTTCATCCCGTAAGTGAAGTCAATCTGTGCTAAAAAACCGAGAAGCACTGTGCTGGTGTTTCGCCCCTATTGGTAATCATCGGCAGCGCGAATCTCACGAAACTCAAGGAGTTTTGAACCGGTGACCTTCCGGCCACTGGTTGAACAATAAACTGTTCAACCTTGAATATAGAGCCACTCATTCCGCGATCACAGAAAACACATCTCGTGGTCAAGTATTGCCTGGCCGCTAAAGTGAACACTTCTCGGACGGAAGTTGCACTCATCTTGTGACATTGTTCTTCCTCTGATTTGTAATGTGAACCTGTTAGTTGCAAGCCGATGACAAGTTGTTGAGTGACCAGGTCACACTAGGAATGAAATTCACACAGGTGATGATTCCCACTAAAGATAAAAGTACTTATTCACCTTCCAGCACAGACTGGCTTCACCGAGAGGATGAATTGTTAGCCAAGTGACCCTACGTTGGAAGACGCTGAAACTCGGTTTCATCTGCACTGGGAACCACCAACAATGCATATCGCTTGCATCTCGAGGAGGTCATAACACGAAACCTCTTAGTGAGCAGTTGAAAAATAAACCTTTCGGCCATGAGCGAATAATCAACGGTACGTAGCTGGCACCTGGACTCTTTCAATCAGCTTCAGGCAACTAGTGAAGTGTTTCACTTCTGAACAGTTTACAGTGTGATGGAACAACGGGAATGCCTACAAACATTGTGAAGCAACCCCAGCTTTTTGAGGATCATTAATAGTATAACAACCCTAAAATACGCCTAAAGACTCTTCATCTCCCCCAATAAAGTTCCGCGTTCCCATTTTAGGGGAGAGGATGCAATTATGCAGTGTCGTGTGTGGGGCCGACCAAAATCCAGATGCAACGTAAGTTGTACGCAACATCCAATCGAATCTTATGGACCCATTGGTCAAGACCAGAGTCTGCCCCACCTCCAGGCAACCCGCTACTACACCGTCAGAATTCATGGTAGCTCATCTGAACGAGGTGGTTAGGATAACGCTAGTGTAATGTCCTTTACTCAGTCCTGAGTGAATATTTCTAAACCTGTTATCAACTGGAAAAAGTAAGAACGATCAAAGTAAGAACAAGCAATCCACTACTCGTAAAGTTGCTGAAAACTCCTCGATGGCCCACGACCTGGAAATATCAAAACCAAGAGGTTCAGCTGGGTTCCAGGTGAGTCTCTCGCAAAAACCAAATTAGTATGCAGATGAGCGTATATTCGCTAATTTCATGCAATTCAGTTTCAAGTAGAACATAAGGTTGACGGAAACTTGGTGACTGCGCCTAGCTGATGAGCTCCAAGAAGAGCGAAGAGGTCATGGGCTGTCGAAGAGTTTTCAGCAACCTTATGAGTAGTGCATTACAAATATACATATGTATAGCGATATCTCGAATATCGTAGCGACTGAAACATGAGGCGGCCTGCTGCCTGGAGACATCAAAACCGAGAGTTTCAGCTGGTTTCCAGGTGAGGCTCTCGCAAAAAACCAAATTAGTTGCAAATTAGTGTATATTTGCTAAGATCGATCAAGCTTTTATCGTTTTTTCGAAGGTGATTGTTTGTCAACCCTACCTGAAGCTATTTGTTGTGCTTGGAAAATAGTTTTGAAGTTCGAAAAGACGATAATTCCGCGCATTCGCGGTGGACCACGCTCATAGAACTGGCTTTTTTTACTGTCCAAAAAACGCCAAGTTTTCGGAGACTAAGAACACAACGGAATACAAACGTAGGCGTCAATAGTAAGCTGGAGATCACTATTTGATGTATTTTCAAAATCATATATGCGACGAGCTTAGTACAGAAAACAGGACCAAAAAACCTCCCAATCGATGAAACTGATTCTAATTTACGTTGCTCTGAAGTTATTCAAGGTCAATGAAGCGAACAACGATAACAGTAAATGCTACATACAACAAGCCGTGGAAGCAATCTACGCACAATTGGTGCGGGTTGTGAGGAAGGTCTAGTTTCTAATTCCAAAATAAAAACGCACTTAGTCGACGCTATGCTCAGTGAGAAAAGGCTGGTGACCTGCTTTGCAATTAACTTGCAAGATTTGATCCCGTAAATTGAGACATCGTCAACAAGTCAACAAGTTGCCAGCTGGGAACTACAGCGAAAACTACCAGTCTAGTTTGTCTAACTCACTCACCTCCATACTTCAAGGGACGACACCCAGCTCGAGTTTGTCATTTCTAGTTGTACGCCTTTGGATCTTCAGTTTAAATACGAGTAATCGCATACCGCGAAACAGTTGAATTTGGCTCAGCGGAGTTTGTTAATTAAAACTAGTATCCTAGCAGTGGCGAAGATATCAACAGCGATAATACAGCTATAGAGAATGCTGATTCGTAGCTGTCCTAAATCAATGGCGGAAAAGCGTCCTAGTGGAGTGGATAGTACCGGAAAAGATGCAGGTTGTGTGCATATGCTGTGAGTATTGTATTGGCGGTAGGGCTGCGAAATGCACCGGCTTGGCGCGCAAGTACTCAAACGACAATTTCGCGGCCTAGATAACAAAAGCATACTTGCTTCTCGGATCAGTCTACAACAACTTGGAAGGTGACTCACCGGGGTCCAAATCAGGATCTTGTGAATGTTTCACATCACTTTGTTTGATCGCAGAAGGTATTTCGAGCGGCAAACACGCTTATTTTCGGTATAAGTAGTGTATAAGTAGTGTACCGGTCGCACCAGAAAAATGGTGGAATCACTACAACTTGATCCGTGTGGAAAATGTTAGGTTGAACGGCCTAAAGTGGGGAGGTATCAGGAAGGTCATATTCCTGAGAGTGACCACTGAATACCCGGAGTCTACTGAGAACCTCAGCTCCGCTAGATGTTGACCAGACAGACAACGCCCCCTCATTATGCAGCGTTTCACAGCCATGTATCAAACTCACACAGCGCGAGTCAGTGCTGATCAAGGTCAGACAACGCCCCCGCAATATGCAGTGCGTCGCAGTTTCGCACCAACGCCAGACCGCGTGCATCAGCATTGGACCGAATTCGGTGTCTCTCTTAGCTCTCTTAGCTGCTATTGTGGCTATTCCGATTGGTAAGCAAGTACCAGCTTATGTACAATTTCAGTGCGGACACACGGCAGGCACAGGGAGCTGGTGTGGAGTGCCTTCTGAGGTGGATAAAAAACTTCTTATAAGCACACATTCGCGGCTGGAAGACCACGGGTTTCGGGTCTAAAAGCCTTAACCTCTATGTCGATGACCTAACAGAGGTTCTAAGTTCATGCCGTCTAGGGTATACTGAGAGCCTCAAGCTCCAGAATTTCGCTACTTGCAGGACTTGCAGATTGGACGCTATGGGGCCATGGATGCGTTGCACAAATGGTCGTTAACTTTGTTCCTACCGAAAGACAGCGATAACTTGGTTCCGTCTTCAGTGGATTCATTCAGAATCCATCAGATCATGGGTAGACGTTCATGCAAGCCTCATTAGGTGGATACCATGAAATAGCAGGGTCGAGTGGCCAGCCAAATTCCGTGGATGTACTAAACGAGGTCACTACCACCAGCAGGATGGCCTGTGCTGTCATACCTACTCATGTTTCCTCTTACTAATGCCCTGTTCTTGCAAGCGATTAGCCCTTCACAAAACACCAACACAAACACACCAACCCTGAAATCCCTCAGTCAACTTCGAGGCCTCTAAAAATCTGTCTTGAATACCGGTGTAGATAAGGAGATCCCACTGAGGTAGGCATACGCTGCGTGATGGAAGGGTGCTGCCCTCATTTTGAACTTCGCTTTAAGCATCGTTTCGTCGTCGTGGGGTCACAGTTGGAAGCTGTTCAAACCGAAGAGGTTAGGAATAGTCAGTCTCAAAATCATTCTGTCTACTTGTGAGGCCGATGACCAGAACGGACTTGCCGGTTCATGTGTCGGGGCTAAAACTTGGGACTATTTCGAACAGCTGCTTGATGCGCAGTTATGCAAAGTCTTGCTCCCCACATCTCCAATGAGCCCTCCGAGTCCAGCTGTACACCGGGCTATCTGGTCTACTGTAATCTCAGTGAAGTAACGGAAGTGACAAGAGTTTCCACCGGCAGTCATCAACTTCTTTGGCAATTCAGTGGCACATATATTGACTGATTCAATTTGGGAGCTTGTCATAGGATTGTCAGAAATGTCAAAAAACGGATTGTGAAAAACTTTTAAGCTATGTCCAGTCTTCAGTTAAACGAACGCAGAAATTCAAATCAATAGAAAGCTTTTCGGGAAGTGCTCAGAGTGTCTAGAATCAAATCATGAATGTAACTATTACGAACACTTGGACAGTAGAAATGTGACCAGAGATTTTTTAGAAAAAAAAGCGGATTGAGACACACTCTAGCATTACAGAGTCCAACACCAGAGAAGTGAAACACTTGTGGAATCGACATCCGGTAAATTTCATCTAATGCAAACTCAGAAACTCAACTCACGAAACCTCATGAAATGAAGCCAGACGGGTTCCAGTAGAACATAAGGTTAACGGAAACTCCGGGACTGCGCCTACCTGATGAACCACAAGAAGGGCGAACCCGATCGTGGGTTGTCGAAGAGTCTTCAGCAACCTTGTGAGTAGTTTCCTTTACAAACGGATCAAACTTCCACATATCAAGAAAATTTCTGAAACCACAGTAAGAGTGTAATGGCGGCATAACATATAGGTAGCCTTCAAGTTCACACGGCTATCTTTGAACGGTCCTCCTTTGGTTTGGCTCAATTATTCTGGTGAACTCACACCGAAGGAAGAAAACTATGGACTCTGGTTTTATTCTTAGTTGGTCGGTAGTACATATACTTGGTCATGCCTGCGCCACGGACGCGCATAGGCTGATGATGATGATTTCCGATTGGTTGCGCGATTCGTAGAGTACAGGTTTAGCGCGAGCCGGTGGAGTAAGGGTGAGAAGCCCGTTTCGCAAGTTAGATGTCCAGAGCTCGAATCGGCCCAGCTAAGGATACATATTACTGATTGACTATAATAACAACAAAAGGAGTCCACTGCTCCCTCCCCTTGGTATGGATTCACAAGAAAGATTACGCGGGGGCACGCTACAAACCCCGCAACTACCGAAGACCACCATGTGAGAACCCCCTGCGGATAGCGTCACCAAAAAGAAAACAGAATACATCGATGCGGTCCAATGTCACATACAATATTCTGTGCAGCGATGAAGATAAACGCCACTTTTAACCAGACTCCATGAATACAAACTTGCGACTAGGAGGCATGGCCAACTTCCACTTATCTCCGAGCACCAAGATCAAGAATGACACATCTTCGACCAAAGTAGCTGGTTCATACTGATCCAAGTAAAAAAAGACAAAAAAGGGAGTGAATTTTGGTAATTTGATCAAAAAGAACCATCAGCGAACTAAGTGAAATCGATTGATTAACCAACAAGAACAAAAGAAAGCCCTCGTTAAAAAACCATGTATGTAGGTAAGTGGATCCAAATCCAGAGGAATGTTCCACCTGAGGGGAACTTATCTCACAGAATGGAGGGCGACTCAACAAAGAGAGGGATCTAATTAGCTCATCACATGTCAAGTGTGCCGACAGATGTCAGAGTGTGCGCCATCGTTACTTACGATTCATTTTGCCCACTTTCAAAAACAGTGGCGGTATTGGAGTTAGATCATAAAGAGCCATTGGACACCAACTTGGACCAGTACTGGCGGATTTACATACCGCCGGATTAGAAAACCACCTTAACTAATGATGTACCTGCTTGAATTTTGTATACCAGACGTAATGGTGGGCCGCCTTAAGCGTGGAGACCTAAACAATTTCATGAAATAACAGGAAGGTCAGAAATATTCCTTACTGATCAAGCAAGATGTGTATTCATGAGTTATACATCAGAAACTCGACTAAGGCTCTTAGTTGTGGTAGTACTCAACTGAATATGGTGCACAAAGTCCGCCTTGTGTTTCCATGGATACGATATTAAAGATATATGCTCTCAAAGATTGATGAAACTCCTGACAGACAATGACCGGTTGCGTTCTTCTTGGGGTTCATTAGGTAGATGCGCTCCGCCAGTTTTCGTCAACTGTGTGTTATTCGGGGATCCGGAGTGCACCAAAACGCAAAGTATACCTCCTTTGAGACAGCCTCAAAGGGGAAATCCAACAATAGAAATATCCGGAGACCCTCGTTGCCATTATGCGGGTTAAAGGAACGTACAAACACATCCGGTACTACGGACTGAAGCTGTGACAAGGAATTTCTCTCATATTTAAGCTTCTATAGCTCTTACTGGCGTTGACCATCCCCGTACCATTTCTTTCGCGACCGTTTAGGTGTATTCAGTAAATATCTGGGCTTGGCCAGACTCGGTTGAAGTTTGAGAATCCCATATTGCGAATGTGTGAAGATGTGTGAAACTTAAGCATGCGCGTAATAGCTTTATGGTTTTATGGCTGTGCGACGTGGTCTCTTTGTGAAACCGAACTGAAACACCTTCACGACTTCCACAACTGTTGTCTCAGAACCACAGTTGTTGTAGGCTTGTGTCGGTGAATCCGCAACGAGACAATCAGAAAACGAGAGCTCGGCTTTGCAATGAGTACTTCACAGTTGTTGAGGCCTGGGGCCGGGAATCCGCAACGAGACAATCAGAAAACGAGAGCTCGGCTTTGCAATGAGTACTTCAGTTGAAGAATCTGTCCAGCACCAGCACCGAACTATCGTTTGCTGAGGAGGCTGCTTATTCTTATCCATTTAGGAGTAGCGCTAGCAGAAAAGTAGTCAACTTTTGACCTGGAAGAGGGATACGAGAAAAATTACGAAAAGTCTGGGTGATGTCAGTGCGACTCGTTTTTTAGGACGGAAGCCGCGTCTGGTCCACTGTGCCTGGTTCTGGACGCTGCATCATATAGCTGCCACTCAATGTCAGTGGCGGTCCTGTTGTCAGTTTTTATCCAGATTGTCTGAATGAGTACCCGGAGGCACGTTGAAATGATTGCAGTAAGCCAGCATTAGATCTATTCTTGATCAACTTTTCTCCTTTTCCTCTTCTTTGAAGTAAATTATGGTTGCACAGCAGCGAAGCACTGATATCATGTTGTCGATGATGATGATGATGATGATGATGATGATGATGATGATGATGATGGTGATGGTGATGATGATAGTGTCCACAAGTTAGCGTGGAATTTCAGTTCCAAATCGGATGATTTACAAGCCAACAGCGAATCGAATGTTCATTACCGTGCGAACACCACTCAACCATAACTACTGTGTCAGGGACAACTGAACTCATGATTCATGAGGCGTAGTGGTACAGATGTGTTGATCGCCCACCATTTTCAGGAACTTTTCTCCTTTAGAGCTAATCTGGGTTATGCTAACGTGACTGATAAAGCTGAGGAAAAGAGGAGACTCCGATTACTCGTCCTGGCGCAGACAGGTGCGCATAGCTGATGCTTCCCAATAAGGATGAAACAACCATACAGTACTTTTCGGGATAGATTAGCTCCAGGACGAAATCTAAATTGAAAATTACCAAATTTCCTGACATCACCATAAGGAATAGATCAATTTTATGTGTGCCACCAATGGTGACAGTGCATTGCTTATCCTGTGTAAAAAGTGTCATGGTTCTTCTTAGAAATTTCGCACGCCGAAACGGTCGACCTCAGGAAACTAGTCGGATTTTAGAGTCCAGTTGGACTCATGTCCCATAGTAAAGAGCCGGGGAACTGGGACTTATCAGCATTTCTCACCCACTGAAACTCTACGGAGATTTGTACATGTTGACCTCAGTTAGACACTAGACCGTTCAACCACCAGTAGACGATTGGAAATACCGTTACCTCAAAATTACACATGGCAGCACTCTGCGCAAATCATGCGATCGAATGTTGACCGCCTCATCAGGCGGCGACTTCGAAATATGCATATGTGCGACTATCCATGGTTCAGGACTGGTTCACAGAACCGAAAGTTCTTGATGAGTACTGTTCACTTAGCATCTAGCCTTGACTGAGGCCTCGCGCGAAAATACGGTTGGAGGGTTGAACATTAATCAGTTTCGGTCGGAAGACCACGCTGAGGCTACGAGAAGAAATCGGGTAATCTTGTTGCAGATGCTTAATTGAAATAATTGGATAAAACTCTTTCATTACAAGATAGACAGAATCTTTTTTATTCGGGGAATCGATTTACCGTAGCAAAGCGTAGTTGCCACATGAGTTGTCGTCGTACAAGTGTGTTTTGACGCACAATTATTAGTTGTATGCTCAATCGGGCGTGACTATTCTGTCTAGGTGAGACCAACCTTGTCAGTCATGCTAATTGCCTATCGAATGCTTCCACAACTCTATTAAACCTCCCACTGCGTGTGTGATCATGGTGAGAGCCAGCAGCAGTGTTACACCAGCTCCCCTTAGTAAGAAAACCGCTCAGACGAAAGTGATTTTCGTTATTCTGTCCAGTTTTTATTTAAGATGAGTAATGTTTGAGGGTTCAGCTCGAATTTCTGCATGTATTATAGCTTACCAGATGTGTTATGTTCCTACAAAAGCCTTCACAGGAGCTATCATCAAAAACTGCATGAACTTAGTGAAGTATTATTTCGTCATCGTCATCATCGAGAGCAATCATCGTCATCATCATCATCATCTTCATCATCATCATCACCATCTTCATCGTCATCATCATCAGCATGACATCAGTGTTCAACACCGGTGGTTCGCAGCCTTGTAGGGTGGGGAGGGGAGGAAGAAAAAGTATGTGAATAGAAAGATGGGGGCGTCAGCAGTAGCCTGTTTTCGCTTACCCGCCGCACTGTATGCAGCGACCAGGTTGATGGAACGCCCACACCTAGACAGGAGGACGATTAGGGTCCTCAATCAAAGCCTATAGCTCAAAAGCCTAACCGCAAGGCAGAGGTGTTTGGCGGAATATGCAAATGCATTACCATTTCTAACGGAACAAGCCCCCACATGTTTCAACCCCCAACCAGGAGGGCCAGGAAACTGTGTTTGTCAGACCTCTAACCATCGACCAACTTGGTTTGAGAGACTCTATAAGTGTCTCTGGGACAACGCCCATTATATCTCACACCACGGTAGGTTCCAGTTTCTTCGTGTGTACTTCGCCGACTTTACTCAGGTCATACGTCCCCGAAAATTTCCTGCCTTCCCACTAGCCATTTTTTCTCTTGGTTACATGGCAGATAAGCACCAGCATTTGTTCCTTTCAGTGATGATGACGATGTGCCTGCTCAGTTCAGTGACGAAATTAGCTTGAATATTATGCCCAAGGTCAAAGATGGGTTAGCTTGTAGCGACCCAGTCACCCACAAACTTGACTGTTCAACTCACAGTCGCTCACTGGATCGCGAGGCTTGTCTTTTTTCTCATACGCACAAATACGTCGCACTAAGCTGACTCATCGGACATCGATTGTCTGCACCGCCTAGTCAGCGTAGCAACCACTCACGTGGCGACGCGCCCACGAACACGCACTGGGATCTACATAAAGCGAAACCGAACCAAGTCAGGACACAGACTCGCGCGCGCGCAGGGAGCAAGGAGGCAGCCAAGCACTCCAAGTCCACGGACAATCATGGAACACGTGTAGCAACCATATTGCGAAGACAACACGTTCTCACCGTCCGGACTTTTACCAAGGGAATCTCACATACGATAAGTTCCCTTTTGACTCGCTCCCATCTCACACTATTTATTTTTATACGTATCACAACCATGCTAAAAACTTCTATTCACCTTCTGATTTGTATTATGGCTATCGCCACCTGTGCACTAATAAGCTAACATATTCGTTGCACTCACGATATCGGTTGTTTGACCTTGTGCACGGAGACTGTGTTCGTCAGAGCTCTAACCTATGACCAACCTGGTATAATAGGGAATCAGACAGCTACATGTTGAAGGCGATAGCTATGGTTCAGGAACGGCAATGGCTGAGTAAAACAACCTGTCACTAACCATTCGGTTGCCTTGTTCCAAAGTTCTCATTCGGGGAGACGTCAGTTACCGACATGACTGAGTTGGCTAGTATAGCGGCTTTCCGTCTTCGTTTCAAAGTCTCTGACCGACTGAGGCTGAGTTGTCTCCATCTGGTGAGGAGTGCTGTGCGGGACAGACGACCCTCAGGTACACTAATTAAGTAGCCTTATCAAAGTAAACTATGTAGTGTGGCCAGCTGGTGTGAACTTTCCAGCTGTACACGGTGTACCTCAGTATGACTGTTCTGTTGTCCCCTTTATACCGGCGCCGCAGATTACAGCGTCTGTGCTGCGCGGACAAAGAAGTAAGTCTGAATTCAAGGTAACATGCACAAAAACACTTGTCATTCTTCCACACGATTTGATATACTTTGCGTCTCCGGTCAACAAACTCTTCAGAACATATTTGTAATGTACTACTCATAAGGTTGCTGAAAATCCATCGACAGCCCACGACCGGTTTCGCCCCTCTTGGGGCTCATCAGCTAGGTGCAGTCCCTGGGTTTCCGTCAACCTTATGTTCTACTTGAAACCAAATTGCACGAAATCAGTGAATATACACTCATTTGCATACTAATTTGGTTTTTGCGAGAGACTCTCCTGGAACCCAGCTGAATCTCTCGTTTATGATGTCCTCAGGCAACTGAATGTGCTGTACCAGGCCGCCTCATGTTTCAGTCGAAACGATATTTGAAATATCGCGATACATGTATATCTTTGTAATGTACTACGCATAAGGTTGCTGAAAGTCCATCGACAGCCCACGACTACATTCAGTTGCCTGAGAACATCATAAAGGAGAGATTCAGCTGGGTTCCAGGTGAGTCTCTCGAAAAAACCAAATTAGTTTGCAGATGAGTGTACATTCGCTAATCTTCAGAATATATTTTTAGCCTTTCAGATTTTGAAATTGATTGATGTATTAAATTGGTCTCAACAGCGAAGGGGGACAAATTTCTCCTCTATCAAGAAAAAGGGAGGACTGTTCTTCCAGAAGAGACTTCAGCTGTGTTGTGGCTGAATGAGTACAGAATGCCAACATACAGTAGCCCAGTTTCGAAGAAGTCCTTATCGATTAGGAAGCTACTGTAGTATTGTTCTATCTGGATTGATTAACATTACAGGTGTCACGTAATCCGAATAAGGGCAAAAACCGTCAGATGACTCGCTTGTGCGAACCAAATCATCTTTAGTTGAACTAATTGGGAATGAGTTCTCTCCAAAACATGGAGATTGTGCTGTATATATCAGTCCGGACAAGCTATTCTCATTCGAATTGGAGAAAAAATACGTTGGTGCGCACTTGGCCAGTTTCCACATTTTCCGTAGGCCAAAGCGGTTCATTGGCACAGATTCTCATCCGGCTCTGTGAGGTTGAAAAACAGACAAAAAACGATTCACCTGGGTATTCGAAATTACCTTAGTTGCGTCCCAGTGACGCTCTGGCGAAGCGAGACCAACACTCTTGGACTGCTCACCGTCCCGCTTCACTTTTATCCCCCTGCCACAAAACTAAATTATTTGTGACGAAATGCCATTCCTCGGCTGGTTGCTCAAGTGCTATACTTCAGTCAGCGTAGTCAAACGGTAGAGAATTTATGAAGTTGGAATTTTACAGTCGTGATAGGAACATCAGTATGGCGACTATTGTTCAGCCTACGCTTGTGGAGTAGTGGTAACACGATTGTCCTCGATATCACATGTCTGGGGTTCGAATCCCGTCACCGCCAACGGGCCATCGAGTTTCGAAAGTTGCTCCTCACAGACAGAAAGCCCCGACTCTGGTCAGTCCCTCCCCAGAATGCATAATCTGTTCCGAAGGAGTGCCTGCCCAAAGAACTATGAGGTTTTGGTGCAGAATGAAGTTGTTCACTGGTGAATACGAACCAGGTGAGTAAGAAGAATTATCAAGACAGAATAAACTCTCAGGAACTTGGGAACTAGAGACCTGATTCAAAGTTTTCAGACAGCAGCTGTCGAACCAGATACTGTGGTGGGGGTATTGGTACCACAATCTCCATGGATGTCCTATGTGCGGAGTTCCACATCTAATTTCGTGAAATTTTACTACTGTAATTTCCCATTCAGCGGCATACTAAAAATCATTGTGTCGCATAAAAAAAGAAAAAAAAACAAGGCTAACTAGATCCGTCATCTCTTTGTCAACGAAAGGCAGTCGCACATATCAGGGACTTTTGTGCCCATTAACCCGTTGTGCGTTTTTATGGAGTCGAAAAAGATCTCTTTGTCAACGAAAGCCAGTCGCACATATCAGGGACTTTTGTGCTCATTAACCCGTTGCGCGTTTTTATGGAGTCGAAAAAGGACTATTACACTACCTCCATGGCACCCTTAGCAGCGGAAAAGTTTCGGTTTTTCAAAGACGCTTGTTCCTCATGAGGATAGAAGGCATTGATTACACAATCCACTTGAACATTTGCGTCACGCGTCACTGTGAGTTTGAGGACTAGGACGATCACGTGGTCACTTTTCCTCAAAATCGATTTTCGAACGAATTATTTTGCAGTAATTTTCACGACCTTCATGATTCATTTTCTTTAATATTAGGCACAGATTCCTGCCCAACGATATCCTATAACTTAGCCGTAGCACAGGTTTTTGGATAAGGTGAACTCAGTTCTTAGCAGTTGGTACTGTGCTGATAACTGTTGCTAGGGTACCTGCGCTTCAGACGCAGGTCCTAGAACTGAGCAGTATAACTATCGGTGATAAACAGTCTTTCGTTTTCATAAAGGAAACTACTCACAAGGTTGCTGAAAACTCTTGGACAGCACGCGATCGGTTCCGCCCTTTTTGGAGCTCATCAGGCAGACGCATTCTCTGAGTTTCCGTCAACCCTATGCTCTACTTGAACCCAAATTTGACTGATTGCGACAAATACACTCTTTTGCAAATCAATTTGGTTTTCACGAGAGACTCAACTGAATCTCTCGTTTATGATATTCTACAACTTAATGTGCTGCACACAAGCCGCCTCATGTTTCAGTTGGTACGATATTCGAGATAGAGCACTACATTTCTATGAAATAAAGTACATATAAGGTTGGTGAAAACTCTTCGACAGTCCACGACCGGTTTCGCCCGTCTTTCTATGTTTTCCAGAATGGGGCAAATTTCTAATGACAAGTCGTTTGACTGGGCTTCAAGCGTGCACAATGTTGCCTTGTTGCTCTCAATCACTTACCCATCCTTTGAACGTCAAAGATTACCGTGCTCACTACATTGCTCGTACATAGTCAAAAACAAAACAACAGAAGTGTCACCTGTGAGCGCCTGACAGAACGAAGCTGACTTGCTTTCTCTCTAAACAGACAACTTCACTGCCGCGATCGAGTGTTCTAAGGGGGTTCTTGAGAGTAGCATTGACTGGATAGAATTTCTGATGCCGGTGTTGAAGCACACCTGCGTCCCATCCTAAGAATGTGCCCCTGGGAAACGATCAGATTTGCGTTCTTTTCTAAACTGCTTCCCGCCTCTTGAGGCATCGCAGATTTGCGACTTACTTTTGTGGCATCGCCCCACAAAGCTCAGGATGTCATTTATTCGTATAAATAAAAATGCCCTGAAGATATTTTATTCCGATTTGGTAGAAATGATCCTAAATCCAGAGAAACATCCTGTGGTCAATCGCGTTGTACCCAGATTTATCTTTTCTTAGGTGAAATATTTTGAAGGAATAAACGAACAATAGAGAATGTTGTCACATTCTGTCTTTGTCAGGTTCAAATGACAGGCTGGTCTTTGCTCTCTACTCTTGTGGACACCTTAGACAACACCTGGCTTCTGGAGGTCCTATTCGTTTGGCCTCATGAACAAATGATTCTTCCGGTTTGCCACCCTTATCACCTATCCCCTTTGTACAGGCATTGATCGAATTTCCGTTCACAGGTATTGTAAGAAAATACTGATAATCGTTCAACTTTAACACCCTTTCGGTGCATAGCTGCCATACCAACGAGGGGTGGGGTATACTGCCAGGTCGCTCAAGCCTAGACAGGCAAAGTCCAGAGGCAGAGATCAGGTTCGAACCCCGGACCTTCCTGTCAGTAAATTCGCGTTCTAACCACTTGGGTCATCTCGCCCCTATCTAACTGCTTGCAGAATAACTTGGATTCGCCTTTTTAACGGATTTTATAAAGTGCTTTCCATTCATCGGTGTGAAATAATTTTCACACGGTCCGATGTGAGGTGTTGCAGGTGTTGCAACGTTGTTGCTTCGATATTTGTGGTTTACTGAACACGGCCTGATCAGCTGATCCGAGAGGAATACAGTCCAGAGTCCCCGCTTAGATATGCTTTCGAATTCGACCTGGAAGAATTGGTTTCTGTTCATTCTTTGACCATTAAATAGCTGACTCCGAAATGTTGTAAAAAAATCGTCACACTTAAAAGGCTAGTTAACTGGACAGGGTTTAACTGCATAGAACCAAAAATGTGAATATGCATATCTTGTTTACTTAGTGTTGAGCATCAGTCTGAATGCTATCGGTTATCTGTGACAAGGTTTATAGAATGGCTTTTCAGCAGTTCTTGGTAGACTCAGTGAAAGTGGCGTTGAAAGCGGCGTTTCGTCCAGTAGCTATCCCGTTGATCCTCGGCGGTCTGCAGCTGATCCACATCGTTAAGGAATCCACTCAAGTAGATGCGGTAGAACAGCACATACAGTTCACTCCACGCTCCCAAAGGCATGCCCATCATGTGGAGAAGAATCTGTTTGCCCGACTTCACTCCCATCAACAGCTCAATGAGGCGCTGGACTTGCGCTTTCGTAAGGTGGGCAGCCCTGGCATAATCCACGATATTTCTACTTTCTGCAGGGGAAAACGGAAAATTGTGGAAAGTGAAGGCGAGATTTTGATGTGAATCAAACGCATTATGAAACGAGCAACGCCGTACACCCTGAAGGCAAAACCATTAACATCCCACGAGAATAAATGAATTCAATTACGGTTGCATCAGGACGAAATTACTACGACAGCGCGCAAGTGCACTCACCGACCAGCTTAGTAGCTAGGTCTTCCGGTTTCCCTTCTCCAAGTATATCGGGAATAAGCCACTCTCGGTACTTATTGATGAAGCCTTGAAGGTGTTCCTCAGCTGGACGAAGTTCTGAAATCAAGGTAATCCATAAAGCAGATTTTTAAAAAAATGCGATACAAATGTAAACTTTCAATTCATTCCTTTTTTTCTGGAATCAGCCCTAATATTACTTAAATCTTGCTCAGTAGCATCTGGATTTCTCTATAGTAGCACACTTATGACTGTTACTGTAAAACATTTGATAACCAGTGTGGTGGCACAAACTACTGATGCGAATGCCGTTTGCGCATGCTACAAAACCTTGGTCATTACGTTTAAATCTATTGATCTGTTCACTCAGACTTTCAGACAATGCTCAGAAAATGTTCAAGAATAAGTCTGACTACAGCATTATCAATAGAAAAGCATGATCCAAAATGGGAATATGAATGTAACAAAAAAGAAAAAAGAGGACAAGTGGGACAGAGTAACAAGGAGAGAACGATCGTCCGCCTTCTCCGTCCCATCGGTCGGTGAATAAGGCCTTCCAGCACCATCCTGGAAGACATTTTTACGGTTACCGCGACATCATCCAGCTTCGGATTCCAAGATAGCCCTAACTCTGCCTAAGTATTCTCCCCATTGCCGCGCAGCTTCTGTTTTATAGTTAACGAATTGTCCCAAATTCGCAGTGTAAACCACAACTACACCGTTGTTTGGCCATCTTCGCCTTCGGAACATGTTGCATGCTCTGAGGAGAGTGAAAGTGGTCAAGATGTGTTCACCTGTGTGAGTCGTTGGGATTAACTGTGAGACCATCAAAACGACAGGGAGCGAGGAAACCACGTAATCAGTCTGCTGTGACCTATGTTTAATATGTTACGACGGAGCGTCGATGTCGGCTGGAAGTAAACGATTCCCTTTGGAAAAGTCATGGCAAAACTCGAGTGGTTTTTGCTGCTTCATGCAACTGTCACTTGTCTAGCTCTGTCAGTGCCAGTCAATCATCGATAATGACCAAGATGAAATGCCAAACGGGCTTTGGGTAAAACAGTTGTATTCCACCATTCGAGCAGCTGAAAGTTACTGCGATTCAGCGAAAAAAACAGTACTATATTGCTTGGGTTGACAATATCAGCGATCTCGAGAAGTTAAAAACTAGACAAGACGGAAATCATTGCACTAGTTATCCACCAGGTTTATTAGGTGCTCACAAACACTACTGAGCATACTAGGTTTGCTCCAGTTTGAACTGGCCAACTCGAGGAAGCGATCAACAATGAGGCACTCCGCCATTCCAGTAGAGAGCTTATCGTCCCATCAGCATCATCGTCATCATCATCATCATCATCATCGACAGCATGACATCAGTGTTCAACACCGATGCTTCACTGCCGTACAACCATGATTTATTTGAAAGCCTTATTGTAAAGAAAAGAGTAAAAGTGGACGGGGAAGGGACTTAGTGCTAGCTTA